GATACACCTTATAGCATAGTTGCCCCAGCCCTGATAATAGGGTTGCTACTTTTATTTGCACAGTCTAGTTTTCAGAATTATGTAGCTGTTTCGTAACTTTGCCAAGGAGAGTGTGAAAAAAAATCAAACACAGTCTTTTATCTCCTTTCATTTCCACAGTAGCAGGAGTGGAAAATTCACAGCCATTCTAACTCACTGAGCACTTCACTGTTGTTGACTTCAAAGTGTTGACTTCACTGTTGATAGCAAGAACTGCAGATGCTGGAGTCAAAGATAACAGTGTGGAGCTGGAGAAACACAGCAGGCCAGGCAGCATCAGAGGGGCAGGGAAGTTGACGTTTCGGGTCGGGACCCTTTTTCAGAAATAGGGGGTGGGGGAAGGGAGCTGGGAAATAAATAGAGAGAGGAGGGGTGGGGCTGGGGAAGGTAAGTGGTATGGTAATAGGTGAATGCAGGTAGGGGGTGATGGGGATTGGTCAGTGAGGTGGGAGGGGCAGATAAATGGGAGAGAAGTTGGACAGTTCTTGACTTGTTTTAGTCCTTCTGTGTTCCTTTTTTTTGCAGTAACTGGTTCTCTTATAGCAAGGACATCTCACTCAGTCTTAGCTTCACAAATCTGGCATTATGTTTCAACTAAATGGCTACCACAAGCACAAGTGAAAGTAATGCTGAGCAACATGACTAGGGCAAGCCAGCAATTTACAAATGCATATCTCCAAACAGTGATGTGAGTTGCCTTACTGAGACACTGCGGTCCAACTGATAAATCATTGACACTTCCTTCATTAATCTCTCTAAATCAGCATTACCTGGCAGTCAATGATCTGTCAACAGTTTAGGTTTAGATTTAGACTTTATTGTCACATGTACTCAAGTACAGAAGTACAGGAGTAAAGTGTATAGTTCCGCCACACGGGTGCCATACAAAGGCAGCTGGGTACAAAAAGCTTTGATACAAAGCAGTATGGGTATTTCTGCTATAACGTAGTTTTGCTAACATGAATTGATTGTAATGCGATTGATGAACAGTGGATGCGATTTGGATAATGCGAACTTTGGTGATTTT